TGTGGTGATGAGGCTCATACAGGAAATTACCCTCTGCCTCTAATTGAAGAACATTGAACAATCACGAAATCTGGCCCTTTGCTAGCGGAGGATCCTAATGGAATTTCTGTATATTCAACCACCGGTGTCAAAAGATATCGCAGTGTATGGTGAAACAGAAAAACACTTGTTATTCTTGTTCTTTTAATTCACTGTAATTGCTCACTTTCCATGTCAATCCATTCCATAACTTAATGCCACTCTTTTCTGTTATTGTTGTTGTATTGATACCAATCCGGTGATCTATACGCATTTAGTAAGCTAGGAGAGCTTGAATTCACATTAACCTGCCCATAAATGTGAACTGAACGTGATTCAAAATTTTTCTTGACCGATAATTTGCATGAATTGCTTTTCATCTGTGATGCGCATTTTGTTATGTTTAGTCTCATACAACTTTGCCTATCTGCCTTTAGATCTAATTTGGCTTCATTGCTGCCATCTAACCACTACGCTTCGGTGGCCGTCACTGATCGGTGCAACTTGAGACGTCGCACTAACGAGCTGGGAGATGTGATTGAAGGTGAACGAAATCCAACGTATTCGCCAATGCCGCATCGAGCATCGGATATCAATGTCGAACGGAAACCAAGCGAACTTTCTGGGCCTCAGACCAATGTATCTCGACTGAACTGCCTTCCGGGATATGAAATTCCCGGGATTTGGAGTCCATACGATCCTCCATCTCTAGATTATCCAACAAATTCCAGTCATAATCGGCCATTGTCTTGGCGCAAGCGAATTTACGAATTCTTCAGTGCTCCTGTGACTCGGTTTTATCTACACGTGGTCAGTGGTCTTGTCTTTGTTCAACTTTCACACTGTTTCCTGATAACTGTTACTACCTTGGTCTTTTTTAGATAACAGTAATTCTCTGACTGTTGCTTTTCGATTAAAATTATTGAATTTGCTTTCTTAAGTAATTACAGGAAATACCATCCTTGTATTCTCAATTATCTTGGTTGGCCATGTGGTTGAACTGGTGCGTTCCTTCGCGGACTCCACTACTTCTGTTTTACCGTGCTCTGAAATCGGCCTTGGACTCAGTTGCTTGCACCAAACTCTGACACACTTGCCCCGTGAATTATAAGCTGGAAAATTTTACGTGTGTTGTACATAAATAAACGAGGCAGCACTCAAACACGCGATTAATTTGATACCAAGTCCTCCATCGAAACTTGTGTTCATCACCGCTACCCTATTTCTTTGCTTTTCAACGTTGTATTTTATATGGTTTCACAACGATCGGCTTTGGTATCTATGGTACGCAGATCACCCTGTGGTACTGAGTCAGGTGCAAGCTTTTTGAATGGTTTCACCGTTAGTCTATATTTATGTTCAGTATGCCTATTGCAACTCCAATATTAAAAACATCCCTGTGGAATTTATCTGACTGCATCCCAAACTGAGGATTAACAGTGAAGGGAAGTAGAAAATTTTCTAGTCTGTCTCCGTGGTTAGACCGTGCGGGAGCCGAAGAGTGATACTCGAAACTGATGCACCAAATTGTGGAATTGAAGTTTGTTTTATATTGACAAGTTTAGAGTGTTGCTTCATACCATCTACCGCTCGTCTTGTTTGTTGTCATGTTGTCCTAAGAGTGAAGATGTGGTCGATACAACCTCGACCAGGTCTAAAACCATCCTGGTTCTCACGTATGCGCTCTTCATGAACGGCTGACAATCGACGCAGTATGATGCCGGCGAGAATTTTAGGGGTAATGTTGACCAAACTAATTCCTCTGTAGTTTTCACAAGAGGATCTATCACCTTTCTTGTAAATCGGTATGATCACCGACTCACACCATTCAGCTGGAACCTCTTCTCTTTCCCATATTGAACCCAGGAGTTTTGTCAACTCCAAAACTAGCGCTGAGCCTCCATCCTTAAAAAATCGATGAGGACAGCCCATCGGGGTCAGAAGCCGGAAGCTTATTTCTCGAGAAACTTCCATTTCAGATGGAGGACTGATGTCAACTGGCAGTATTTGCACAGTTGAACCGGGTATAGGGAGGTTCTGTGCCGACGAGGGCCAGCGGAACGGAGCCTTAAAATGTTCTGCCCATCGATCTAGACGGTGTTGCTGAATATGAATATGAATCAGTGTGCCATCGGACTCCTTAATTACCTCACTTACGCCTAATTTCCTTAAACCTATGATGCTAATTACTCGGAAAAGATTGCAACTATTACCGATAGCCGCAGCCTTAATTCCCTCATCGAACAAGCTACTTACCAATCATCATATTTAGGGCTGAGCCGTATGACAACGACTGTTTCTCACTTGGAAGGGGTGTGCATTTAAAAATTACATTTCCATCTAACGGAGCTCCGCTCGCATTTTAGTTCTCGGCTGGGCGATTTTTTTTTACTTGATTCACTTGAGGCGCGTGTGTGTAGTCCATTGTTCCGACCACACTGATGTCAACCATTTGTACATCAGCTTAGAGATTGACTTTTGCTGCATGAGGCATTTGGACACTGATAAATGTATTAGGACCGTTTCTATTGGTAATAATGATAACTGGTATGTCCGCTCGTTTACTTTCTTTCACAGATTCTCTACCTAGTCTTTCTGGTCCTGTTTATCGGTTTGTGTATACATACGTTGCCTCCGGATCAGTGGTCCTGGCTCGAGCTATACGTTTATCTGCATATTGTGACCTATTTGTTGGACAAATTCCGTGAGGTAAGCTTTGGTCGTTTCCATCCCCCACCAGACACACTTTCCTATCCCGTTGTGCCTAATCTGACAGACAATGAAGTGTTCCATCGGAGACGTCGCTTCCCGACAGTTTGTCACGCCCCATCGGACACTCCGATTTCCTTTATCCGTACAGTGGATAGTTAATTGACTATTTGCGCAATTGAATTCGACTTTCGATAACGTGCGCATTTATGCATTGATTAGTTTAACTTATTTACTGTGGGTTATACAGTGGAATTTTTCCATGTGTCAATTATCGCAACGTACCAATTTTGTGCGCACTCTTCAGGCGAGAAGTTTCCTGGCTAGATCTTAGTTCCATCCTGTTATTCTATACAAATTCCAGGTCACCTTGATTCGAGGCACAAACTATTTTCAAAAGATGCGTGTTCATTTGGGTGCCTTTTGGAACGTTTACGACACTGTGATGTGTACTTTATCCGTAATCGGAATCATGATACGTTACATGGGAATGATTGATCCGTCATTTTACATGTGGGGCAAAAACCTGCTGATTCTGTGCTGTGCGATTTGGTGAGTACCTGTTTTACTCCTGTCGCTTAGTTTGATATAGATCTCTTCTTGTGCATGCATGCTGTGATGAAATTATTCGGAATCAACCGTCCCCTGATTTCGGATTGTAATTGTATTTAAATCGTTCGATCACGTACCGTTCGTTTTTCTTCTAGTTTGTTTTCCAACTATCAGATTAGATTTTCCACTCATCGAAAAATCGCAGAAACAAACTATAATGAATAATGCCCATCATAATTAAAGTTTTCTGCCTCGTAAGACTATTCGACACTCGCGCGCACTAGAACATGGGTAATTTCCTAGTTGACTATTTTTGCTCCCCGTTCAATTCGATCGATTATTTGTTTTGCATCATCGTTCGAGCGCGTCGCTTATGTCCACGGCAACGGCGAATTTCGTGCCGCAGTCAATTCAGACTTAGTTTTGGAGTTGCTTTTCGAATGGTCTCGTGATTTCCACACGCGCACAAGTTCGTCATGAATGTCGCATGGGTGTCGAAGGGTCTTGTGACGACAAATCACCTCCATTTCAGAGTCTATGCTTTACTCAGTAAACTGAGAAACATGCTTGAGGACGAAGTCGGAAGTAGGGTTGGTTCAAATTAATAACATGGATCCCATAACACTACTCACAAATTATTGTAAATTGAATACAAACAGTAAAACTGGACAACTGTGATGCATCACAAACAACCACATGATAGATTGGGCAAATCGGATAACTACCTTTTTGTGGACTCCGTATATGTTGGGTATCTGCTGTCCACATTAGTCCGTAGGCATTTAAAACCATTGGTGTGCTGTTGTTTCTGTTTTTTACCGCTCCGTATTGAAAGCTATACAAATAAATAAACAAATTATCAAAATAATACATGAATCCCGTAATATTACAAGGAAGTACATCACGTGGATTGTCCAATACCGCTGTGCATATCGTTTGACCATCTTGATCCGAACATTGTGGGTGGCTCTCGAATTCCGATTCATAAATCGGACGCTTCTAATCCGGCCATTTTGCAAATGCCGTTGACTTTTGCAACCTGCGGTCGTGTTACTAGTCCCCTTCCCGTGATCCATTTTCGAACAATAATCTGTTCTCCCCTCCCCCCCCCCTCTCTCTCTCCAGATTTCAATGTCAATGGTGACTTGCTTGCAACATTCACTATGTGTACACAGTCTAGTCAGTGGACTCTCTGAAAACTGACCATTCTCTTTCTATTAGTGAAAAATAATTGCCCGTATGTCTTTCAACTCACAAACCTGTAGGCTTGATAATATTGGATTAGCTATTATTATTATTGACTCCAACTGACCATTATTCTTCTCATCTCATTTCTGTCTATACAATCCTCGAGATTATTTGGGCACGAGACTAAACAGTTTCGCGCAGATTAGACAAACGTTATGTATTGCCTTTCGTGAAATCGCCTCGGATTATCACCGCATAAACCTTGATTTTACATCGATTTAAAATAAAATTTAAAAATATTTCATCATCCCACAATACTTGTCCCATGGCCTTAATTGATGAAATTCACTCTCGTTCAACCGCCATCATTTGTGATTTGCACAGTGTGTATTTTTGTAACTGTGAAATTTCACCGGTGTAAGCGCATTCCTACGTTGTGTGATAAAAGATTGTTCACATTTGATCCCTTCAACGTGTGTGTGGTGTCAATAACCAATATCGGAACAATAAATCAGACTTTTGAGCTTCAAACTTTAATAAAATTGAGGACACTTATAGAAGCCAATCAGTAGATAATCTCTCCATTTATTCCTGTCATTTTTATGTTGGATTGACATTTCTGGTCTGTTCACTTTTAAACAAATATTCTAGATTTGGACAGAAATGCCACATATTTGTACCGTCAGAATCCATCAGATGTCAGATCTGGTCCCTGTCTTAAGAGTGCATATTGTGGGCACAATTATTGATTACTCGTCCCAAAAGGGCAATTGTTGATTAATGATGTGATTTCAAAACCAGTGGTTACCTAGCCTCCGCCTAAAATACAAGATAATAATGTCGACTATCAGGGTTATATTGATTTTAAAGTCCTTGTTGAAACCAAGAGAAATAGTTGGATAAATAAATAGATAGACAGATACATTGATTGATTGATTGATTGATTGATTGATTGATTGATTGTGATGTCCTTATCTCGATATGCTTGTGAACGAAACTCCATAAATGCAACTGTAAAAACTAAAATAGATCTGGGGTAAAATTATTTAAGAACGAAAATATACGTCCACCCTCCTCCTCCAACGTGCATCGTAACACTCGGTGTGAGTCTCAAAGTGATGAGCTTTTGTTTCCCTTAGTTCTGTCTTATCTTTTAGGTTCCTTATAAAGTAATATTGTTTTTTGTTGTGAAGTTACACGTTTTCTTTTCCTTTCACATGATGTGCTTCTGTCTAGTGTGCAGATCGTTGTGCCTACATACTAACGTGAACTGGTAGGAATTGTTGGCGTTGATATGTTCTCCGAACCGGAAGTGTTGTTCCCAGACGTTTCGTTTCGGTAACATCATCAGTGCAACTCCGGGGATAATGTTACCTAGCCTGGCCACGAAACGCCTGCGAACAACACTTTCAGCTCGAAGAACGCACCAACACAAACATCCGCGTCCCGAGTTACAATCAGTCCGCATTATTTTCAACTGGTTGGAGTTACAATCTGGTCGGTGTTATTCTTGTTATTTTTCGATATATGCCGAATACTGTGATCACCTCCGTTTCTGAACACTTCTTTCTCGTGCAGGCAAATGCGCTTTCTCGAACTGATGCAAATCTGGCGATTTTCCGGGCCGTACATCTATATGCTCCTAAAAATGGTTAGTCCACCCCCGGGTTAATTGTTCATCTTGTTAACGTTTTGAACTAACTCACACTTCACCGCGTTCTATCCTCTACCGCTTGTCTTAACTGATGGAATTGCATTTGTGATCGTAAAAGTTTATTTATCCAGTAAGATCACAACTGCTTTACGAAGTTAAAGAAAATTAGAACTTTATTGAATATTTCTTCAGATTAGAACTTATTACAAAGCGATTGCTGATTTCCGGGGTATTTCTCTATCGTAGTCTTCCCTTCACTGTCCAGTCCTGTGCTTTGTTTATTTTACTACTGGCCCGGTGAGTTGTGCAATGGGTTTTTCTGAATAAATAGTAAAAATTTCTTATCGATTTCAAAATAAACGTTTCGTTCACTTCACTTTCTCCCATCCATATTGGTTCCACCCGGCACGGAGAATCTCATGACTGGTGTGCGAGTCGTATTTCAGTTCATTTTTAGCCTGAGATTCATTATCATTTCTTATCTGTTCCATATGTTTTATGTGTGCGATTATTCAAGGCTTCTCACATCCCGGTGGTCCGATACCCAAAAGTATATCCTACAGTCTTTTTGATCGTAAACACATTGATCTGTCAGATGATATTCATTTTCACGAAGTTTATCCATCTCTCTTCCACTGCACATCAAACCGGATTGGTATGTCAGTCACAGGTAGTCTATTGGCTGATCACAAGTTTCTTCACACACACACACACACTGCAGCTGTTGACCTTGACTTTTTTTTACCCAAACTTAGATCTGATGCATGTTCGGAACAATCAAACTGGTGCTTGAATAATAATAAAAAGACCGTTGATCAATTCTCTTGTGCCCTCCCTTTTTCATTATCATCCAACTCGCTTTCATTATTGTCATTTCATCGCATTGTATTCTCGTTGCACGTCAGTTGGAAGTTAGTGAGACACTGCTCTGTTTATCATTAAACCAAGCTTACTACATTCATATCTCCAAATTTGACCGAACATCCTTGTGAGTGTTTTCCATGTGTCAGCAGACATTTCTCATTTGCCGTTACTTTCCTCACAAACTGATCATCATCATTCGGATAGACTCGTGAATGCTCGTTTCGATATCTCGGTCGTTCTCATGACAGCTTGCCCACACAGCTAGATTGGTTTGGTTTGATGTGGCCAGTGATAATAATTAAAAAAACGTTGCTCTACATGTTATCATGCACCTCTTCGCCTATGTTTCATCAAGCAACTTCGTCAATTTTACTAATAGTAAGTACATTGATTCCAGTTAAGCCTGTACATGAGCAATAAAACAGGTGACAGGTGTATTCACGTACTCAGACTCTGTTTTCTATGGCACACTGATCCACCACCAGCAACGCCGTCTTGATCGATGGGCGGAACATTTAGAAGCTTAGTTCAACTGGTCCCCATCGACATCTGACCTATCACCCCCACTCCCCAACCTCGACCGGGTAAATACTCCCAGTTGATGCCAGTCCTCCGTATAAAATGGAGGTTTCCCGGGAAATATGTTATCTCAAAAGGTATAAGGCCTCCGGTCCAGGTAGGCTGTCTCCATCGGTTTTTATGGATAGAGGTTCAGCCTTGGTTTTGGAGCTAACGAAACTCTTGGACTCAGTGAGGGAGAGGGCAGAGGTTCCAGCTTGAAACATCTGTCGGTTTTTGAACACTGCTGCCTACGCAGCATTACACGAATCTAGTGAGGCAGCCGGACGAGCAATGCTTTGGTTAGGCGTCGAGCTTTAGGTAACCGCAGACGTCCACTGGAGTGATTAGTCACCCTTCACAGATTACGTTGGTTCGGGTATGTCACCAAATAGGTCACCCTGTCGAACGATGTTCGCCGAGGCAGATAGTGGGTGGAATAAAGCCATGGGTGGTCAAAGTAAGACCTAGCACGAGGGTATGAAAACTCTAACCAAAAGACTGTCACATAGGTCCCGTTAGGCTCCCTGGTTGGGGATCTCGGAATGATCGTAACCGATGATTACAGATACTGAGTGATAAGGCTGTGTCGTAAACAGTGGCTTTCGCGCATCTTAATAGTTATAGTGAGATTACATCAAGAATGAGCACGTGCATTTCTATCCCAACAGAAGCAGGTGCCCGCAAAACACACGAGGATGAATGGTTCACTTGTGTTAACCATCAATTTAACCCCTAGGACTTTGAGTAATGAACCACAGTAGGATGAGATATGTGTTATACTTAACCGGATAACAGTGGAATTATCTGCCACCAACCAACCGCCTGACCTCCAGTTTTTTCATCATGAAAGTTCAACATTTGTGCTCAAATTATGTATGTCTCTTCACTGCTGTTTTATTTATCCCTTTGTATTTTGCATCCCTGCACTGTACGTTCTCTCAATTTGGCGTGGGGTTTCTGGATAAAGAACGCTAGTCTCTGCTCAAAACACACAATTTGCTCGGATTTGCCGTATCCTTCTCCGCTTATCGGTCTAGTCAGGCAGTCGGTTTGCGAATTTTTCATAGCCAGCTAAGGTAGTATCTTCAATATTGCGTTCAACGCTAAGATGCCCTGGTCGGGAAGCCATATTATAGAAGCTGCCGGTTATCCACGCTAATATTCAACCGACTCTACTTATGAGCTTGAGTTTTAATTGGACTCCATTGGTTCACTTGTTTCGTACTGGCGTCAGCCTAATAGGAAATCAAGCATTTATCTCCTCCGAAAAGCCCGACAGTTGATGATCATGTCACACTGGTACACATATTTTTCCTTTTTACATAATCTAGTTGACAATGAGTCAGCTTCCCGGATGTGTTGTATGATATTTTTATATTCACAGTACTTCGTGGTGAAGTCTGTTCGTTCGCGTCTCCACAGCTAAGCTCCATGAACCGAATGTTTGATCCTAACCTGTCCGCCCATTTTCAGGCTGACCGCTTGATATTCATCAAAGAGTCACGGGTATACTTTTCGAAATGGTCTTCCCAGCATACATTTTATTTGGAGACGCACCCCCAGGTTTTTTCTGAATTAAGCACAAACTGCAGTTCAGTTCAGTTCTTACAACCATTAACCATGCACTTTCGTGTGCCGGTTTTCGTTGCTGTCTTTTGTTTGCCCATTTGGATAAAACAGCAGCAAATTCAAGCGGAAGATTGCGCATTTACATAGACTGAAGTTATAAGAATAATGAGTAAATGCATGAGCGCCACTGTTTAAGACACCCGGCCATATCGCTCAGTTTCTCTAACCATCGGTGACCATGAACTCGGGGTCCCCAGCCAGGAATCCTAACGGGACCTATATCAGCCAGTCTCCTGGTTAGGGTTTTTATACCCTCATACTAGGTCTTACTTTGACCTCCCTTGATTTTTTTCCAACCGCTACCTGCTTTGGCAAACATCGCTCGCCGTGGCAATCTGTCTGGTGACATGCGTAGCACATGTCCCAACCAGCGTAATCCATGATGGTCGACCACTTGCTCCAGTGGAGGACCTTGATTACCTAAAACTCCACGCCTAACCTCAGTATTGCTCGTCCGGTTTCCTCACTAGACTCGTGCAATGCGACGTAGACAGCGGCGTTCGAACACCGACAACCTATTTTTATCCTGGAGTGCCACACTAGAACATCATTAACATTTCAACTATCCACAATGTAGTTTACCCTCCTATTGAGAGCTTTATTGCTTTGCAACTCTTGTCCACCTGCAGGGTAATCTCTCAGTGCTAAAAATGAGAGTTGTGTATCAGGTGAAAAACAAAATCTTGAAGACTACCCCGTGACATTTCACCAATCAAACGTGTCACTTCTTCTTTTAGCTCCATATACTCTAATCCTATGGTTAGGCATTGATTTTGGGGCTCGTGTACCCAACCACTGGAATGTTGTGATGGTTTCTGGCACATTTTACTGCTGACACGAACGGTGAACAACATGGAATTGGTTCATGTCAGATTGGCAGTTGCAAACACAGGTCAGTTGTAATCAGGAACGTAAGTGCAGTTGATCAACAATTACGGATCAAGTTTCAGATGATAAATTATATTCCATTCGAAAACCCAATCTGGTTAAAGTC